TTTACATCCCGTGTCAAACATCCCATCACAGTTGAAGGTGCACAGCGTTCGGCAAAGTTTGTAAAATCTCTATTCAGCTTCATTTTCACCGACTACTTTTGCTGAGGCCTAGTTGTACTGTGAAGTGGGAATTTCCCACTTACATACATTTAAACTGGAATGCCACTCCAGTGGCAGTGAAAGGTTCAGAATTCAAGACGGCAGCTACTCACCACAACTCAGCCATGAGTAAAGCTTACTTTTAAGTAGCATTTCTGTAGTATTTATTTCACGTTTAGTCTGTTGTACGCATAGTACTCTTCAGTGTTCATAAGAGGACAAGTTAAATTGCTGTTTCTATGCAAGAAATACAACAAAGAGCTCAGTTGTTAGCTGTGCTAAACACAAAATGTCAGTTAATTACAACTGGCCCTTTGAGGGAAAACATAATGCTGTGGCCCTCTGTGAAAAAGAGTTTGACACCCGTTTCACATGATTACACAGAAAATTCTCTTATGCTGATCCAGGAGAAAATGTTTTAAACAAGTAATACCTGTTGTAGATATATCTTTGAATGGCTTCAGTTTAGAGAAATAAAGTTTAATCTTGTCCAGATTGATAAAAGTTTTTTAAACTGGGCCAAAAGTGAAGTGTTTTATGTAACTGCAATCTAAACTTTATAGTCATTCAGGTGAGCACTATTATCTATTATTTTTCACAGCCACTATTTTAGCAATGGTTATTTAAATACACTGCCTGGCCAAAAAAAAAAAAAATCCTCACCTAGATTTTACTGAGCAAATAGGTACGAGCCTCCTATTGGATGATTACTGCATCGGTGATTGTCTTTCAGCTAGCAACAAGTTATTTAACCCCAACTGGTGCAATGAGTTGCTTCTCATTTCTGAAACAACCATGTGGAAAGACACATCCTGTGATCGTGGAAAATGTCAGTCTATTTGAGACGGGTCAAATCATTGTCTAACCAGGGAAAAAAAGGCTTCAACTTGCTGGGAGCATAAAGACTGGACTCTGGAGCAATGGAAGCTCATGTGGTCTGATGAGTCCAGACTGAACCTGTTCCTAAGTGATGTGTGCATCAGGGTAAGAAGAGAGGCTGGTGAAGTGATGCTCCCATCAAGCCTGTGGGGGCATTGATATGATGTGAGGTGGCTGCTGTTGGTCAGGTCTAGGTTCAGCAACATGTGCTCAAAGAACGAGGTCAACTGACCTGAATGTGCTGAATGACCAGGTTTTTCCATCAATGGATTGTTTCTTCTCTGATGCATATTCCAAGATGGCAATCATCAGGCTGGAATTGTGAAAGAGTGGTTCAGGGAGCATGAGACATCACTGGATTGGATTGGCTCCACAGAGACCATTGAGTCTCTTTGGGAATTTATATTTATTTATTTATTTATTTATTTATTGGCCTGGCAATGTAAAATTTAAATGTTATTAGCAAGTGCAAAAGTAGAAGCATATCTCTTGGAATTTTGTTAAGAAATGTATTTTAATGGTGGCTGATAAGCTTCAAAAACACATTTGAAAGGAAGACTTAAATGACTGAAACTAGAGGTGTTTTAAGATGACAGCCATCCACTTTGGTCTTAATAACTTTGATCAAAAAAACATTATCATCATAAATACAGCAGGTAAAATAAGTATTGAACATGTCACCATTTTTCTCAGTAAATATATTACTAGAGGTGCTAATGACATGAAATTTTCACCAGATGTCGGTAACAACCCAAGTGATCCATACATACAAAGAAATCAAACCATAAATATCCAGAAATGAAGTTATTTGTAACAATGTGGAATGGCACAGGGAAAAAGTATTGAACACATGAAGAAAGGGAGGTGTAAAAAGGCATGGAAAGCCAAGACACCAGCTGAACTCTCTCAGTAATTTGAAAGCAAGCCTGCCCCTTGTCAGTGCAAATTAATATCAGCTGGTTCAGTCCCAAATGATGGCCAGGTATCACACAAGAACCATCTGATGATGGGTAAAAGTAAAGAGCTCTCAAGACCTTCACAACCTTATTGTTGCAAAGCATAATGATGGCATCGGTTACAGAAGAATGTCTAAACTTCTGAAGGTTCCAGTGAGCACTGTTGGGGCCATAATTCAGAAGTGGAAAGAACATTATTTCACCATAAACCGACCACGACCAGGTGCTCCTCGCAAGATTTCTGACAGAGGAGTGAAAAGAATTATCAGAAGAGTTGTCCAAGAGCCAAGGACCACTTGTGGAGAGCTTCAGAAAGACCTGGAATTAGCAGGTACGATTGTTTCAAAGAAAACAATAAGTAATACACTGAACCACCATGGCCTGTATGCACGCTCACCACGCAAGACTCCACTGCTGAAGAAACAGCATGTTGAAGCTCCTTTAAAGTTTGCTGCACAACATTTAGACAAGCCTGTGTAATACTGGGAGAATATAGTCTGGTCAGATGAGACCAACGTTGAACTGTTTGGATGCCAGAATACACATCATGTTTGGAGGTCAAATGGCACTGCACATCAGCCCAAAAACACCATACCAACAGTGAAGTTTGGAGGTGGGAACATCATGGYGTGGGGGTGTTTTTCAGCATATGGTACTGGCAAACTTCAAATAACTGAAGGAAGGATGAGTGGAAAAATGTACAGAGACATTCTTGATAAAAATCTGCTTCCATCTACCAGGATGATGAAGATGAAACGTGGCTGGACATTTCAGCAAGACAATGAGCCCAAACACAAAGCCAAGGAAACTCTCAGTTGGTTTCAGAGAAAGAAACTAAAGCTGCTGGAATGGCCCAGCCAATCACCTGACCTGAATCCAACAGAAAATCTATGGAAAGAACTAAAGATCAGAGTTCATAGAAGAGGTCCACGAAACCTTCAAGATTTGAAGACTGTTTGTGTGGAAGAATGGGCCAAAATCACACCTGAGCAATGCATGCCACTAGTTTCTCCATACAGGAGGCGTCTTGAAGCTGTCATTGACAACAAAGGCTTTTGTACAAAGTATTAGATAAATTTCAGTAAGTGTGTTCAATACTTTTTCCCTGTGCCATTCCACATTATTACAAATAACTTCATTTCTGGACATTTATGGTTTGATTTCTTTGTATGTATGGATCACTTGGGTTGTTACCGACATCTGGTGAAAATTTCATGTCATTAGCACCTCTAGTAATATATTTACTGAGAAAAATGTTGATGTGTTCAATACTTATTTTACCCTCTGTATATGCAATTAAAACATAAGGTTATATCTTTTTCACTGTCATGTTGTGAAAAATGATACATCGGAATGTCTCCTGTATTGTTTTGTTGAATGCTGCCATGGTTCTTCATGTTTTGATTCGTTGTGTTCAGGGCAACCATGACAAGACATTTATTAGTTTCTGTCAATAAATATGTTTAAATATGTTTTTACAGGTTGCTCATCATTCCAAGTGTGGTGGCTGAATACTTTCTCTGTCTGGCTTCTTTATTATGGTCTGCCTCCAGATATTCAAACAATAAATAGCTTCACATCCAAGAGCAGGGTGTTTTATTAATTAAATCATTCATGAGAAATTACATCAGTTACAAACATTAAGACATCTCGCTGCGCTGTGGTTGATCACAGTTCAAAGCATAACCTGAAGCATTACCACAAGAGTCACACACGCAGTAAAATACAAGGAAATCATGAGTCACTGAAATCCTTTTGTGTGCCATGATATTTGTAATTAACTGTTTTACCACAGCAATGCTTGCATGTTACAGTTAAGTGGAAATGTCACGCATAAACATGCTGTAACATGAACATACGTACTGATAGGGTGGGGATAATGAAGTGACTGCCACTAAAGGTTTCCTTAATACTGAACTATAACCAGCTGCACTGCTTCTGTTCTCTAGATTTGTCTCGTATCTCTTATAGAACTAGGATTGCACAAAGACTTGATTGCACTTAATCCCCCAAAACGCAGCTAGACCTAAAAAAAAAAAACATACTGCTGCAATCTTATCACCTTTTCAAGATTAAGTCGGGAAATGTGCGTAAAGAGAAACTTGTGCAACAAAAACACAGAGCTTTATTTAAAAAACTGATGAAGATCTCAAAAACTAAATGGGAAGACATGAAACGATGACTTGGACCAAAATGCATGCCAGAAAGGTAAACATTTTGATGCTTCAAATTCGACATTTTGTTATTGCTGTCTGCCTGCTTTAGTTTGATTTGTTTTGGTCACACACTGCTGTACAGGAATGCAAACACCTGTTTTTATTTCAAGTAGTTCAGCTTTTCTGTGTCCTAGTTTAAAAGGACCAGAAAAATAGAGCATTGGTTTTCTTCTAGTTCCTGAGATTCAAAATATTATATACTGACATAATTATAGGATCTGATTTTTCCTTCACACCAAAGTTATGTTGTCAAAAATGCTTGTTTGCTATTTTTTGCTTTCGTTGCCACCATTTCTTTTTCAGAATAAGAGCGTTTTGTTGCCAATTTCTTCACCTTAAATTTTTTACATTTCCAGTAAAACTGTTTCTTTTGTTTAGAATACCTCCAAATCATAAAATAAAAGATTTCTACTAAATGAATAGATTTTATTTTTTTAATTTCTTTCAATCTTTTCTAATCCAAATCATAAAATCCTGTACTTTTTTTTTTTTTACAGACAAATGTGGCAAAATATGCACTTGTCTAGAACATTTCTTATGGCTTTATTTGTTGTCAGGAAACTATTTGTCTCATATTTACACTTTTTAACATTAATGAATATTTATTTAGGAATTAATAAGTCAGTTTTGTCAGGATGGACGGCTTAAGAGTTGAATTTAGACATAAAATAAATAAATAAGCTTTAACACTACAGCTAATAGGACTAGCAACATGTTGCTCACTTGGATAACGAGAATTAAAACAAAGTGGAAGCAGCAATTTTGAGTATATTATAT